AGCAACTCTTTCAAGTCTTCATTGCAATGAAGATGCATCAAAGAAATATGACGCAGCAGGAGGCGTATAAAAAATGCATTAAGTTTACCTACCAAAGACTTAAGCCATTAACTAAAAAAAGACTAGATTTAAAGTGACGACTCGCCTCTTTTCCAAGGTAGAAGACAGGATTTCACTCATTTGAAATGTCCTGAATTGCTGCAACTTTATAGACTTGCCTTGTATGACCTGACACACATTCACAGTCTGATCAGTGAACATATTAACTTCTGATGTTAATCCACTGAGAATGGACCATAAAATGAAACGCTCAGATTGACATCCTAGTAGTTGGATGAAGATTTAAAATTAAAAAGACGTTTGGATACACAGGAGTGCAAAATCAAAGCGTGAAAGAGTCAGAAGTATTCTTATTTGTGAGTTAAACTTAAATCCTTGTACACTAAAACCCGGCCTTTCTTAGACACGTGTGCATAATCTGATAAAGATATATTAGTATCATAAAGGTACTGGTTATCAAGAGCAGGTTAATATTGGTTATAGATGTTTGCTCAGAATATATATATCACATATTCCCACTTACAGTACTCTAATTGATAACAGTTGATGCGCCTCATTGCTGCTCTGGGTTGCTTTTGAAGTTTGATTTATCTGCTGCTGAATGTACCAGAATCTTTGGTCATTTGAGAAAGTGACAGGAGTGTTTTGTTTTTTTTCTTGCCTGATGTCCACTCATAAAAACATTCACAGTGAGGCAAACAACTCAAAAGCAGAAGCAACCAATTTGTAATACATTTACAGTTACAATCTTGTCAGAAAAAAGTCCAAACAAAATCACAAAGACTGATTCGGTGTCACAGCTCGGTCGTCCAGTCTTGTTGCTTTCCAGTGCAGCTTTTCAATGACACTGCACAGCAGTTACTACCACGTTTTGCACATTACACACAATATTGGCAATTATTTGAAGTCCCTGCAGCAGTGCTAGCATGCTGTCCCAGAGCCTAGGGAGTAACAGTTTGGAAATGGGGGCTTTGGGGTTATGATTGGAGGAGTGTGCCACCTCTTCATTTTCCATCATTAAATACATAATGGCCCAGATTTTGTTTGCTCCCAGCGTGTGTCAACAGCAACTGCAGACTCCGGTCGAAAACACTTCAAAGCGAGAAGTGATCTCCAAGGCCCTAGTAATGCTGGATGTGCTTGGCTTCCATTCCTCGTCGCATGCACTACTTCAGACTGGAAGATGTTTGTTTCCATGGCAGCTCACATTGTTGTGACTAATCAGATATTTTCAGATAGGAATTAGCTTTGCAGTGGTTTTTTTATCTCATCGAAAAAGTATGCCTCTCAGAGTAGTACAGAAGAGCAGAACATATTACGTAGAATTAGCAAAAAGATATGCTCTGTGTTGCTCTGTAAAATAGATGAGCTTCGAACAATATTCAAGAGGTTCGATGAAAAAAAGTTAATCACGCATGTGTTGTGAGGACCTTGATGTATCTTGGCTAATATAAGAACGCTGGGACACCACTCATCTGTGAGTCTCTAAATACAGCTTTGAAGTTTCCTCTTGCGTGAAGATGTCATCTCTTCTCATCCAAATTAAATCACTGTTACTCATCAGATTTTCCATTTGAGTTCATATGCTATCTCAGTGGGTACTAACCCCACTGGCCATTTAGTGAACTAGACACACACACTGTACTCTACGCGGCCGGAGATATCAGGGGATTAACCCTTTGACATAGCATTTTTGAGCCATGATTTATGAAACCTCATTACCCAAGATACACAGTTTTTCACGATTCCCACATATTCCAGAGTGTATTTAACCTTGTGGGTCACATAAGCATGGGAGAGTATTTACTTTAGATTTACTACGTCACCCAAGGACACACAGGCCTGTCTGCAATATCTTTGTGAGCCTTTTTGACAACCAGGCTCACACGGGAGCGAAAGCACAGCCCTCTGTCCCACTCCATCCCATAAATCAACCACTGATGTTGATTGTATGGATGTTCTGGGGCGACTTATACTATAGATGTTTTAACAGAAAATGTATTTCTGACAAATGGACTGGTCTGAAAAATAAACAAATATCCAACAATATTCAGTTAACAGTCTCAGTTGAGAACGTTTTATTCAACATGATTAATTGGTTTACAGAGTGTGGCTAAAGTTAGCAGAGCACCACCAGCCTTCATCCGGGATTTTCATCGGTAATGGCTCCGATCCGGAATGGCGGCGATTTTGGCTGTACACCAATTCCTACCAGATCCATTTGTGAGGTGAATTTCACAGCGGATTACGGGAACTCACAAGAACCCACGGATTCACGAACAATCGCGTGATAACAAGTTGTCTTTAGCCACAGAGGCTAATCATATAAGCAGTAGGTTGTGTCCTTCCAGAGGAGGAAATCTACTTCTAGACTTAAAAAGTCAGCACACTCTCATCCATGGTGTCATCGGGATAAAATGCTATCTATAAACCTTTCACTTGTTCGTCCCCGCCCGTTTGCATGGTGTGAAATACGATCTGCCTGAAACAGAGTGTTTTATTTTGAAAAGAAGCCGGATGTTTTATTTTGTGTCTATGCCTGAATTCCTTTCCCACTGGGTTAATCTGTGCTGAATTTATCGGGCATACTCTGAAGTACGGAAAAAATAGAACTCTTGCGATCAGCTGTGGAGTCTCGGGATCCACAGTGGAATGGAAAGAAGCCAGTGGAAATTGACACATTAACTTGAATGGTTACGATCGGCAGATACGGCCTCTTTGTAGCCATTCTGGATCAGATGGAAATTGGGGGTTAATCCTTTAAGGGGGTTAACGTCCCCATTAGATAGTGTTCCAGTCAGGTCATTTATGCCAGTTTTTACCAGAATCAGCCTACAAACATCCGTCATGTTGTACATCATGTAGTCATTGATTGGTATTTTGCTTACATGAGCTACACATATTGAAATTAGGCTTATAAAAAAGAAACCTAAACACACTTGTGGTCCATACAGTGCTCTCCACTTCCCTGTACTTACCTGTGCAGCTTTCACCAGTTCAGCTCTCTGTTGTTCATGAGCATAAAAGGTGGCCATAGCAGACTGAGGCTGTGCGGTTGCAATCTGGCCCCGCCTCTAATGCTCACATCCTCTTTTCAGGTATTGCTAAATGTCATGTTGCCACTGTTCCTGCTGAGACTTGTAGTGGCAGTGCCAAGAACCTGAGGTGATTTGCAACACTTTGAGTCGTCACTTTTTTGAGATTGAGGCCTGTTCTCTCCTTCATTTTTAGCCCCACTTTTTATCCAATGTTCTTGGATTTAATCCATAGTATTTTACTATCTCATACAGGTGTAACCTTGGTAAGTGATGTAAATTACTTCCATTAGAAGTATAGTTCCCCATACTGATTGTGCTGCATATCCTCTTGCCACTCACTCTCTCTCTGTTTGCAGTCTTATTCTTCTCTGTGCTTATGGGCCTAATGTTTGCATAAATGCTCTTTGTCACTTGTCAGTGTAACAATCTTTAATTATGGTGTTCAAGATTAATTTTAGGCGATCAGTCCTCCTCTCTTCACATCTTTAAATAATCTAAATTCTAAGTTCGGTTTTTAGATTTGACGAATCCCAGTGGAGTTTAATAAGGTGTCTTATTTTAAACACAGTTTCCCTTCACTGTTTTTTTAACTGGATTAAGTGAAATAGGGCAGAAGTTCTTATCTTGATGCCTTCTTGTTTGTTTTCGCCATGAAATTGCAACTTACTGAACTAAACGTAATATCTAGGACTGCCTGTACATAAAGTTCTGTGAAGCATTTGGATTTTTTTTTTGTTCGCAAAGCCCCTCAAGCTCTTGTTACAAATCCCAATTACTGCTGGACTACTCACCAACGTAGAGGGCCAATTATTTTGGGGCCAAATTACACTGTCAGGGAAGCTTTCTGAGCTTCTCTATTGTCTCATGTGAAATTGAAAACAGCTTAAGTCAATGGAGTGTGTCAGGGATGTTATACAACATTCTTTCAAGCAGCTTTCAAAATATAAGAAATAAAAGCAGAGACCTCTGTCAATGTAATGTGTTTTAAAGTGTAAAATAAAAAAAATCATATAATGTCTCCATGATTATAATACTAATGTCATGCTCACCATATGGCTGTCTGCTTCAACTAGGCACTTAATATGATGCGTGATGACCTGTAGCCAACCAGGCATTAAGACATGGTGAGCATTAGGCACAGACACCAACATCACATAAACACATCCACATTCACATCACAGACTGTATTTAATATCGCATTATATGCACTCAGTGATTCACATGCATACACAGACCTGCAAATACACATTACCTGGAACAGAAGACATCAGTGTTAGTGCTGCAGCAGCAGAATAGAAATTCTAATCACGGTGATGCATGAATATATCAGCGGCTCTAGGGTTGAAACCACTTCCCCCACCACCTTTCTAGCTCACTTGCGATCCCTTCATATTTTTCAGTTCTCAATCTCCCCGCATTTCTCACTTTCCGCATGCTCGGTCATGACAAACTGTCCTAAAGCACATGTAGTGGAACATTGATTCTCTCTGTAATGCTCCTCGCTTGGCTACATCAGCTGGGAGAGATTTCGGACTTTGTCTCACAGTCCCTCTGTTTGAGACAGTCCCATCGAATGGAGGCAGATTGCATTGAGGACTTAATAATGACAGTTCTGAATCGCTCCCCAAATAATCTGTCTAAATTCATACACCCTTGAGATGAAGCTGCTGCTCGGTATAACTGGAGAGAAGCTGTCAGATCTGTCAAGAGCAATAGAGGAAGTGCTTACTCATCACTGGGTTTACACAGTGTGCTCTTCAACATGCATTGCTGATCTCTCTACCAACTGGACATATTAACTCCACTTATTACATTTCTGAATCCAATGTCCATTGACCTTTGGTGGCAAAATATGTGCATAAGTTATACCATTTGATGTCTTGCTGGAGTGCATTTTTTGTTAAAGCAGAATTAAAACTCGGGCTGTGGTGATCAGGGCAGGAATTGATGCGGTCATTTTTTTAAATCAAGTTTTCTATTGATTCTCTTTGTGGTTAATCGATATATCAAATGAGAAATGTTGCTCTGCAGCTGCAAATTCCTCAGTTGTGAGACTAACAGGGGATTGTCTCATCTTATTAAATAGATATACAAGAAGTCCATTAGATTGGCTATTACATATCAACTTACTATGTTGAAGGGAGCAAAAAACATCGACAGGTTTAGAGGCAGATGGATGGATCGCACACAAAGGAAAGAGGACAGTCGAACCTACATACACCCACTATTATTACGGTATGAGTTTCAGTCACAGGTTAGCAACTCCTTGAAGGTCTTGTTGAACACTCCTTGACACACTGAGTGACACAACTTTTGAGAAACACAGTCATCTCCTGCCGCAAACTGACTAGTTTATAGGGCATTCCTCTACCAGTGACCTCCTCAATAAAACGCATACTTGCAGAGTTCACATCCCAAACCTCAGAGATGGCAAGTGTGTGGCCTCATCTTGAATACATGGCAGATTGCTACTGAGCAAAGCTGTGCTGTCAGCCTGCAAATTGGCTGTGAATGTCCTCAAGTTCTCTTGCCAAGACAAGTTGTGTCGGTTAGAGAAAATCAGTCCTTTGCACAGAGAGCTGACTTGGGTTAGCAAACTGTCAGCTGATTATGAGATGAGATTTTAGGAAGCTACCAGATCATTGCAAAGCAAGTGATAGCAGGTCTCCACTCCTCTTCAATTCTCTTAAGTGAAGTGTACTATGTCTGTAGAACCGTGTTCAAGTAAGCAGCTACACCGACAGACATCAAAAAGATGCCAGACTCTGATTTTGTTGATAGGATTTTAAATGACAGACACATTTCTCAAGAAGATCTATGGTTCAGGTCGACAACGGAATAATGCATCAGGCTCAAGAATGATGGTTAGCTTGGAATTACCATAAAAATAGAGAGGCCAAATTCACCAGATAACAAAGCATGTGCCATCAACCTGCGCCAGTGCCTAGATATAAAGCCAAGAAGAAATAAATGGTGTTATGAGGACTTCAAGAAGATATTGGATGAGACCATAATGTGAAAGGATGCAGAAATTCTTCCAGGGCAAGAATCTGGCATGTCTCTAAGCATGGTACATCCCACAGCATGGGGTATATCACCTGCAAAAACTTGGGATAATGTGTTGTTGTTGGTTGCTCAGCGAGGTTTCAAGAGATTTTCATTTTCAATGACTATTCCCAGACTGGTCCTCTGTTGTTTTTTTGGAAAGGTCCTTTGTCGATCATGGGTAATTTAGAGATTTTTCCACCAGGTTTATATGATAGCAGAAGACCAAGATTGTGTAAGATTCCTGTAGAACGAGAATCATACCTAGCATGTCAACGACAGGATGAAACTTCACTTGTTTGGCACGGCTTCTTCACCAGGCTACGCCAACTACGGGGCTGAAAAATCTTGCCTCTGATGAACCAGATACCGCCTGGTTCATCTGAAGAACATTCATGCTGTTGATGGTTTGAAAAGCATAGTACTAGTAGCTATAAGTGAAGCAATCCAGCTGTCAATGGGGAGAATTCTGCAACACTGGTGCATGTTGTTTGCAGAAGTTTACGAAAGGGAAGTCCTGACACTAATTCGAAAAGAAGACTGTGCTGATACTGCAAAGAACCTTGATACGGCATCGGTTTCACTACACATAGCAAGAGCAGTTGGCGTACAGTAATGCATTGATTCTGACAAGTTGTGAGTAGTATAAATAGTAGTAAGGCCCCAAATCAAACCCCCTTCTCCATGATCCCCCTTGTGGCTCAGTATCTCATCTATTAAAAACCACAATCAGAAAGTGAAGTCAATTTAATTTGCAAAGCGCTTTAAAAACCGCTTTCCTGTGCACAGGTGAAATAAAACTGTACAGAGACATAAAAGATTATGATAATCCAACACAATTGTATTTCTCATAATACTCATTTTACATGCACATGAAAAACTAAACAAATAACAGTGTGCTGTGAGCTGCGCTTTGACACAAATATGTTCAGTCAGCATATTCGATAAAGCGGGGCGGTAGGCTCTACAAACTGGGCCCCACAACTGAAACAGAAGCAATTCATTTCCAGGGGTAGAGGCCATTAACTCAGCTCCAGCTGCAGGTAGTGGTAGGTGACAGCACTACAGCTTAGACACAATATATGATCTACATTCTAGGCATACCGTAATGGAAGTAGATAATAAAACACAAAATTACAATCAGAAATTGTTATAAATTAATAATCGATTCAGCTGACATGTAATTTCAACGCCGACTTGCAAGGGTGACAACATCATTAAATCTACTTAATGCTCACACCTCTAGTGGTCCTCAGCTTACGCTGAGCCATAAGGAAGATCAGGAAGGCTGTTCAGGAGACTCGGGTTGGGGTTGAGGATATGAAAAGGTCCGTGTCAGCAGTTCTCCCTAACAGTGAACAGCCTGAGCTAAGACCCAATTCAATCCTCCTAGACATGGAACAGCTGGCATGGACTTCCTTCAAACCACAAGTTCATCTTCTCCACAACCTCTTGATGTCTTAGCTATCTTATCTCTATCTCTATCTCTATGTATAATTGCTTTCTGCTCTTAATACTAACCTGTTACCTGTTGGCCCCGCTGATTACATGTCAAGAGGGCTTGACACGGATGTCCACCCTCATATATTTTTGGTTTAAGCTGCTGTGACGTTGCAGGAAACTCTGAGGAGGAGATATTAGAATCAAAAAAGGAATATCCCTGATGAAGGAAATTCACAGTGCCGGCTGTAGGCTTCACTTAAGATCTGTCGTTTTAATTGGCTAGAGATAATTATAGCTGTGTGACACAGGTCGCAGGCAAATTGGCTGTTCTGGCATGAGAAACAGGCGGTTTCCAATTATGTAACCAAAAGCATTCTCTCCCCCCTGCCCCTGCCTCCTTCTTTTCCGTGTTTGTACAGAGCACGTTGAATTGGGTATAAGAGGTAAATGCATAACTTCAAACACTGTGTCACGGATAAAAGATCAAATGAGAAAGAAATACAGAAAACACAGTGTAGTGGTAAGAAGTTTACCAAGTGGTAAAAATTAAACAACCTAGTATTGAAAAACAATAACATCATAGATCAGAGAATTGCTCAAGGGTGCTTCACTTAAGCTTCGGACCAACAGAGATACGCATACTAATGTTACTGTCTCTGGGTTTTGAGAGTTTTTCTTCAGCGATGATGGAATTTCTGTCAGCAGTGATGTCTCCAAACAGTAGGCTGATAATGTGTTGTCTGTCCTGGCACTATGTCCATCGGCTTCAAAGCCTTGTAGTGCACTCCCCCTGAGGCTTGGTTGGACCTCATCTCAGTCAGGCACAGTGAGCTTCTGAAGTAATCGCTGGATTGATGGATGCTGTCGTGTGGAAGCCAGTGATCCTGAGTGATTTCTGTTTTTTTATCAGACGCTCCGCTTATTTATCTGATTATCAGATAATGGCTGTTTTTTTTTTTCTCTCTTAAGATTTTGACTTTTTAAAACAGATTTATTCATCTCATTATCTCAAGGGAACGAGTCATTTTTCCTCATGATGCTAGCATAATGTTCTATCTACAAATTACAACAATAGACTGGTTGTTGTGATGGACCAGACCAGGACACGCCATGCTACCAGTGCACACACTGATGAGGTTTGGTAAGCCTCTTTGTAATTGTTTTATGCCTTTACAATTCTGATAATACCGGTGCTTTCATACCCAATCTTTTTGGTTGCGGTAAACACAAAACTCAAGTCAATTTACTAAATTCCTTTGTACTGCTGTGAAAGCTGGCATCCAAACCCAACTCGACCAAGCAACTGTACCAAGACACTGTATATAGAACGGACGTCATCTGCTTGCTTGCTAGGTGAAGCATCTGTGAGAACAGCACCCCCTGGTGATGGGCTGCAGTATAGGTCATAAATCAGGGGCGGCTGTATCTCAGGAGGTAGAGCGTTTTTTTCAGCGGAAGGTTGGCGATTTGATTCCCCCCTATCCCAAGTCTGTCCGTTATGTCCTTGGGCAAGACACTTAACCCACCTTGCTCCCAGTGTGTGTCCTCCACTGGTGTATGATTGGGAGTGTTGTGTGGTGGTGGTCGAGAGGCCGTAGGCGCAAACTGGCAGCCATGTTTCCATCAGTCTGTGACTAATTGGGTAGTTAACCACCACTAAGGTGTGACCGTGTGAGTGAATGAATGATGTATCCAATGTAAAGCGCTTTGAGGGTCTCTGATAAAGCGCTATATGAAAAAAATCTGATTTATTAATTAAATCACACAGCTCCATTTTTTAAGTTATTAGGGGTTCATGGTTTCTTTGATTGACACTTGATACAGCCTATGGGTGTAAGAAGATAGCCCAGATCATGCGTTCAACGCTACTACGCGAGTGGTGGTTTCAGGAAATAGAAAAAATTCCAGAAGAGTGAGAGTTTTTTGGCTTCAAATTTATATAATGATAGAAGTCTGAGCCAAGTTGTCCATAGTATATCCAGTCTATGAAGTTCACCGAGATCGGTTGAAAAGATGGGTCTCAGCTAGAGATGCACCGATTAATCGGCCGCCGATTTAAAAAGCCGGTTTTATATCCAACCGGCCCCAACCGGTGACCGGCCGGTCACTGTCGTAATTTGCCGGTTTTCCCCGAGCAAACTGACCCGCATGCGCGGTGCGTATCAGCTCCGAGCAAAACTGCTAAAAATTAGCAAGACTCAGGAGGAAAACATGTCGGTGATTTGACACTGTGTGCCAGAGCGACCCAAAACACGCTGCTTGTAATGCTTGCAAGTCAAAAGTCAGCCGTGGAGGATCAACGCCTAAGACATTTGGAACAACAAACTTAATACGCCACTTGGAAAAGAAGCACCCAGGCTTGTTTAGCAAATATAAGGACTACACTGCCGCTAAGAGGAGGGATGCAGCAGAGTCGCAGCGACCACAACAACCCTCCGCCGTGGCTCCTATGTTCGACATCAGCACTGAAAAGTCCAAAGCCACCACTAGGAAAATAATGGAGTACGTGGCACTGGAGGACCAGCCGTTTAGCGTAGTACAGGATAAAGGCTTCGTAAATCTGACGAAACACCTGAGTCCACGGTACAAATTACCAAGTAGGGTGTTTCATCAGATTTACGAAGCCTTTATCCTGTACTACGCTAAATGGCTGGTCCTTCAGTGCCACGAACTTCATTATTTTCCTGGTGGTGGCTTTGGACTTTTCAGTGCTGATGTCGAACATAGGAGCCACGGCGGAGGGTTGTTGTGGTCGCGGCGACTCTGCTGCATCCCTCCTCTTAGCGGCAGTGTAGTCCTTATATTTGCTAAACAAGCCTGGGTGCTTCTTTTCCAAGTGGCGTATTAAGTTTGTTGTTCCAAATGTCTTAGGCGTTGATTGGTACAAACTACCAAGTAGGCGGTACTTTTCTGACACAGCGCTGCCAGAGTCGTTTGAGAGAGGTACTGGAGGGGTAGTCAATAAATTACATTGTACCAGGCAAATGCTGGGACGTTTTTGAATGTTGTTTGAATGTAAGTTAGTTATTGACCTGTAAACTGGACTGAATTTTATGGTCAGTGTTGAAAATAAATCTGCTCAGGAGGCACAGTTGAAACTCTCACTCTATTTCTTATTTGTGAGGTTTTATTCTTGAAAAGGGGGGTTATGATAGCATATAGCCTACCATTAGTTGTGCTTTTAATTGCAGTTAAGCAAAATGTTGTCTGGGAGAGGGGTACTTAAATTAAAATTGGGAAAGGGTACTCAGCCAAACAAATATGGTGTCTATTATATGATTATAATTATTTCTTAGATAGAAAATCGGTATCGGAAAAAACGGTTTTGGCAGGTCAGACCTCCTTTAAAACCGGAAATCGGTATCGGCCAAGAATATTGCCATCGGTGCATCTCTAGTCTCAGCTCACTTATTTTTAGACTCGGATGCAGTTTGTTTGTCAAGAGAACAGTAAGCACAGCACTGTTTCAGATTAAACCAGCTACCACAGCCAGTCACATAGTGCGTTATGGGTAATTGAGTAATTACATGAGTAATTGTTAGCCTGTAGCTGTTTATAACCATGGCTGAATGATGAACTGTGGAGCTCAGAGGAAGTGCATGTGTTAAAAGGTTGTGTAAGCACATTTTTACAACATGCAAGAACAACGAAATCTACTTGATCTTGAGTAAACAGCAAAAAGGAGTTTCTAAGGTCTTTGGTGCCTCCACTACATATTGAGCTTATCTTTTAAAATCATTTTCAAATTGCACCAACTGTGTAGTTATGATACCAAATGTTATAAAAAAAAAACGATGAGCATCAATCCCTCCATTTGTTGGAACATTCAGTTTCTGTCTTTGTAGGATTTAAAAAGATTTAAACTAGAAATAAAACTTTGTTGAGGGTGGCAGTGAGCAAAATCTCAGGGGACATGTGGAGGAACAGTGCTTTCCAGGATCTAATAGCGCAAAATCCTGCATGAGCAAGGGGGAGTTGGATTAAATGTAAAATGGGCCCTGCTTAAACCTCTGTCTCCTCTACTTACTGTACGCCAAAAGTGAACATGTGCATGGACTCCTGATGAGTACAACCAGGTCCGTTTGCTTTCTTTGTAGATGCAGGTTGCCACAATGATCAGTATGCTACTCCTTATTCCAACCATTAGTGGAGCAGACACACATATATCGACACTGGCATACTTACACTTAAACATGCATCACTCCCGAGTACTCTGATCAGCTGTCAACCAGCTTTGTGTTTTTTTTTTAGAGATCTCTTCATTTATTCAGCAGATGTGGGGATGGGAGCTGCAGAAAGTCCCTCGCTGCTGCATTTGCACGTGACCCATTAGGCCAGCTTGGAAACACTGCAGCTGCTCTAATTGCCTCTTGCGGTGCTGTCTGTTTGTAGACTTTTATCTACCTGCACTCACTCATACAGGAGAAAATATGGAGGGAATATTCTATATGGCAAAAGTGATGGACATGGATATAGGGTTCTCTCAAACTAATAACTATCTTGTTGTCGTGTGGCATCAATGTCAAATCCATCATCATATTCCAACTTGGAATTAACATCCCTCAATAATAGCGAACAATGATAATAATCTTAACAATAAGGATTCTTTCAGGGCTTTTTACGTAATGCACATCTATTTATGGCAACAACAGAGAAGCTACTACTTATAATTGTCAAACTTTTTTATTTATACCACATTGCTGCATGCAATCTGTCAGGAGTTCATCAAAAGAATAGCTTAGAGGGAAAAAGAGCCGCGGTCATATCTGTGCCTGCCTGTCTCATGCCAAAAAATACAAACATAGAGGTTGTTTTAGCTTTAATAGGCTCCCCAGATGGAAACAAAGAGCATCCCTTTTCAGCTGCTCTTCCACTTTCTCCCCTCGTGGCTGCATTGATGTAAATGAAAGGCAGGCTTTTCATTTAGTCTGCGTTGAGTAATAGCCCACTGAGCGTACCCTCCTAATTGTTCCTGTCAGGCTTGTAAATCATGGTAGTCTACCCTCCTCTCCATCACACACAGCCTCCTCTTGCATAATCCTATTAGGTGCAACACTATCAGACAGAAGGGAGAAATTTTGCTTTCAGGGACTGTGATTTCTTTTTTTCTTTGTAAACATCCCCCAGTGGCAGTTGCTGCATGCCAAAAACATTTACACCAATTTGCAGAGATTTTTCTTGTAAATATCCTCACATGCAACTTCATTTACAGCAAGGCTTGTTAACCTGAAAACAAACAATTCACAGAGCTTCCAATTAAACTGAATTTGGGTGGTTACAAGTTTAACTTGCTCCTTTTTCAGGCTTAGTGGCAAGCACTGTTTACTAGCTGAGTAATGCATTGGACAATACAGGCTTAAGAACTTTTGAAGCAGTTAAGTTAAACTTGAAATCACTAGCACATTTTATGAAGTTAAGACAGAAGCAACAAAATACTAGAAATGCTGTAAAATGTTAAAAGAACCTGTTTGAACATTTCATGGTTACTTAAAGGGATATTCCGGCGTAAATTTAATTTAGGGTCAAACACACGGCAATGATCATAAATGTTCTTCCTTGAGCTGTGTCCCCCCGCAGCAGTCCATAATGGACTGGCTTGAGGTCTCTCTACAAACAAGCGGCTGCTGGAAGAGAGGAGGTGAGTTGTGTTTAGTCTCTTTGCTAAAGAAATCAGGCAAAGTTACAAAGATGTTTGGTGGCTAGTACTATGGCTGGGACCATATATGTACTGTTGATGAAGTTAGGTGCTGTTCTGAGCATTATTTGTGGCTATAGAGTAACATTTTGGTTGAGGTTTGTTTATGGCTCCTCAGACCGCTGTTGATTGCTATCGTGCGGTCATTACTAAAGTTGGTATAACTAGAGAAGCAAGCGGTTGGCAACATTTATCTCTCAAGGGGGTGTCTAACTCTGTGTTATGGTGTGTTTGACCCTAAATTAAATTTTATGCCAGAATATTCCTTTAACTGTCAATCGGTGTGTCACATGATTGGGTTTAGAAAGAGCATCTCAGTAAATCTGTGTCTTTCTGTTCTGAAGATGGTGAGGCCCTCAGATGGCGCTGCATTCAAAAACAGACATGACTCTGTGGTGGAAACCACTGCATAAACTCAGAAACATCCCCAAAAACCACTGCCTTTTGCCACGGTTTGTCACTGCATTCAAAATGCAAGATGAAACTCTACCACGTAAAGACAAACTGCATTTAAACCAGATTCTGAGGGGCTGCTACTTTCTTTGGACTCAGTTTTTTAACTGTGTTCAGAATACATTGACATTGCTTCGTTTAGGACTTCCGGCTTCATGGCTTCTTTTTGAATTCATGCTTACTTGCAGGATCCATAACGACCCTGACTTCTCAATCAGTTTGACCCTACTGACTGTATGACTTTGAGGTCAGGAGGAAAACATTTATCCCCGTTCTGTTTGAAGGATCATTTTCAAAGACAAGTTTTAAGACAAAGGAATACTAAACCAACATATATGCTTG